GGCCTGGAAGGACGTGGGCAGTGGGGTCCCGCAGGGCTCGGTCCTCGGGCCCGGCCTGTTCAACATCTTCATCAGTGATTTGGATGAGGGGTTGCAAAGCACCCTGTTCAAATTTGCTGATGACACCAAGATGTGGGGGGATGTGGGCACAATAGAAGGGAGCAACAGGCTACAGTCGGACCTTGACAGGTTACAAGGATGGGCGGAGGAGAACAGGATGGGGGTCAAAGCAGACAAGTGCAAGGTGATGCACCTGGGGAGGAACAACCGGCACCATACCTACAGGCTGGGGAACTCCCCTCTTGTCAGCACGGAGGTGGAAAAGGATCTTGGAGTCATTATTGACTCCAAGATGAACATGGCTCAGCAGTGTGGGGAGGTGGCTAGGAAGGCCAACTGTACCTTGTCGTGCATCCACAGATGCATTTCAAGCAGGACCAAGGAGGTGATCCTCCCCCTCTATGCTGCACTGGTCAGGCCGCAGCTGGAGTACTGCGTCCAGTTCTGGGAGCTGCACTTTAAGAGGGATGTGGACAGCATCGAGAGGGTCCAGAGGAGGGCCACTCGCATGATCAGGGGACAGCAGGGCAGGTCCTATGAGGAAAGGTTATGGGACCTGAACCTGTTCAGCCTCCAGAAGAGAAGGCTGAGGGGGGATCTTGTGGCCTGCTATAAACTAGTCAGGGGGGATCAACAGGCACTGGGGGAGTCCCTGTTCCCCCGAGCGCCGCCAGGAGTGACCAGGAATAACGGTCACAAGCTGGCGGAGGGAAGGTTTAAGTTGGACATCAGGAGGCGCTACTTCACGGTCAGGGCGACTAGGGTCTGGAACCAGCTTCCAAGTGAGGTGGTGCAGGCTCCCACCCTGGGGGTTTTTAAGAGGAGGTTAGGAGGTTACCTCAGTACATAACACCGCTGCCCCCCTAGGTAACGTAGTCCTTAAGTATTTAAGTTATAGTAATCTTGGATGACCCAATTCAGGGTTTGGAACCATCTCACTGGAGATGGTAGCAGGCTGTTTTGGCTCTTTTTGAGTCGCTTCAGCAACTGGAGGATTTGATGGGTCTAGAACTGTTAATGGACTCATAAGAACTGGTCCTGCTGGCAGTATGATGTCTTCAGGATCTGAAAACACCACCTGAAACTTGACCTCATTTCTGTTCCACATGTCTATGAAGTGCCTTGCCATCTGGAGGCTTGGCCTTGTAGCTTCTGGTCTTATAGCTTCAATGGCTTGTAGCTTCACTGGTCTTGTACCTTCAAGGACAGTTGAAGGCGCCCCCTGTGACCCTGTTGCATTGTTTTAGAAGTATATGGGATCATTTTGATTGAAGGTCTGCACAGGTGAAGTATCCTGTTTTGTAAAGAACTGGATTTCTTGCTTTGCTTGGTGCTCTGCTACTAGGTCTCCATGGAGCCAATCCAAATGAGTCTTCACTTGGTAGTTCATCAGTAGTTTTGCAGGACTTTGGCCTGTGGGTGTGCTGAGAGAGTTGGCTGATGTGATTGCAGAGCCACTGGCCATCATTTTTGAAAACTCATGATGATCAGGAGAGGTCCTGGATGATTGGAAAAGGGCAAATATAGTTCCCATCTTTAAGAAAGGGAAAAGGGACTGGTCAGCCTCACCGCAGTCACTGGAAAAATCAGGGAGATAATCTTCAAGGAATTCATTTCTAAGCACTTGGAGGAGAAGGTGATTAGGGACAGTCAGCATGGATTCACCATGGGCTTGTCATACCTGACCACCCTGATTGCCTTCTATGATGAAATGACTAGCTCTGTGGATGTAGGGAGACCAGTGGATGTGGGGAAATGGTATACTTGACTTGAGCAAAGTTTCTTGACTGTTGATGTGGCTTCCCACAACATTTTTGTAGGCAAGCTAAGGAAGTACGGGCTGGATGAATGGACTGTAAATGGATAGGAAACTGGCTGGATCATCGGGCTTAGAGGGAAGTAGTCAATGGCTCAATGCCTAATTAGCAGCTGGTATCAGGCGGAGTGCCCTAGGGGTCAGTCCTGGGACCAGTTTTGTTCAATATATTCATCAGTGACATGGAAGAATGCATAGAGTGCACCCCCAGCAAGTTTGCAGATGATACCAACTTGTGGGGAATAGTAGATATGCTAGATGGTAGGGTTAGGATTCAGAGAGATCTACACAAGTTGAAGGATTGGACTAAATGAAATCTCTTGAGGTTCAATAAGGACAAGTGCAAAGTCCTGCACTTAGGATGGAACAATCCAATTCATGGGTACAGACTGGGGGATGACTGGCTAGGCAGCAGCTCTGCAGAAAAGGACCTGGGGGTTACAGTGGACAATAAGCTGAATATGAGACAACAATGTGCCTTTGTTGCTAAGAAGGCTAATGGCATACTGGGCTGCATTGGTAGGAGTGTTGTCAGCAGGTCAAGGGAAGTGATTATCCCCCTGTATTCAGTACTGGTTAGATCACATCTGGAGTACTGTGCTCAGTTTTGGGCCCCCCAGTACAGAAAGGATGTGAACAAATTGGACAAAGTCAGGTGGGGGACAGAAAAAATGGTTGGAGTGCTGGGGCACATGACTTCTGAGGGGAGGCTGGGAGAACTGGGATTATTTAGTTTAGAGAAGAGAAGACTGAAAGTGGATTTAATAGTGTGCTGCAGAGAGGCAGTCCCTCTGCAGCACACTAAATCTGGTTGGAGCAGCTCCTGGCTGGTAGGCTGACCCTTCCCTCTGGCCCCCGTGCTATCCTGGACTGCTCTGACCCAACTCAATGTGCTGTAGTCCAAGCACATATATAAATGGCATGCTTGGGAGCTTCCCTGGAGCAATAAACTGCAGAGCAATTTGGATATGGATGACCCTGCCTCAGGCTGGAGGTTGGGCTACATAGCCTCGGGAGGTCCCTTCCAGCCTTACTTTTCTATGATTCTGCATGCTGTGCTTTCTCTTCCTTGAGCAGAACCTTTCTAGGAATGATTCTGCCTTTTCTGTGTTTGATGCTAACTACAATCATT